ACAAAGCCAACACCTACAGGTGAAGTTTTTAAAGTACAGTTCCCTGCTAATATGCCTGAGAATTCAGTGGAAGATGGCCTGAGTGCTTGTGCCCCTGCACCCATGTAAGAATCATGGATGGAGTTACAGGCTCCTACCTTTGGCTTGGCCCAGCCCTAGCCATTGCATCCATTTGGGGAATGAACCAGTAGATGGAGGATCCTTCTCTCTATCTCTCCCTCTTGTGTATCTCAGCCTTTCAAATAAAAAATAAACCTTAAAAAAAATGAACATTAGCTTTTCATATGCTCTCTAAGGTACCCTTGAGAAATTGAATCTCCAGATCTGAGCAAAAGCGACTGTGACAAAAACCAACTCCTTTCATTTCCTTTCTTATTTTATAAATTTTATTTAAGAATTATTTATTTTCATTTTATTTGAAAAGCAGAGAGACAGAGATCTTCCGCCTCCTGGTTCACTGCCCAGGTGCCAACAGCGCTGAAGCTGAGAGCTGGGAACTCCATCCAGGTCTCCCACATGGGTGGCAGGGATCTAACTTCTTGAGTCATCAGCTTCTGCCTGCCAGGGTGCACAGTAGCAGGAATCTGAGATTGGAAGCAGAGCCGGGACTTGAACCTGGTACTCTTAAACGGAATAACATGCTATGCATTAGTGATCCAACAGTTTGTCATAATATCTTTAAAGGCTTTTCTTTCTTTCTTTTTTTTTAAATTTTATTTGACAGGTAGAGTTAATAGACAGTGAGAGAGACAGAGAGAAAGGTCTTCCTTCTGTTGGTTCACTCTCCAAATGGCACCACAGCCAGCGCTGCGCCGATCCGAAGCCAGGAGCCGGGTACTTCTTCCTGGTCTCCCAAGCAGGTGCAGGGGCCCAAGCACCTGGGCCATCCTCCACTGCCCTCCCGGGCCACAGCAGAGAGGGGGACTGGAAGAGGGGCAAACGGGACTAGAACCTGGCGCCCATATGGGATGCTGGCACTGCAGGCGGAAGATTATCCAAGTGAGCCATGGTGCCAGCCCCCTTTAAAGGCTTTTCAAAGCACCTTCACACAGTATGTCTCATGATGCTCTTTGCATTGTTTCTAAGCCCAAACATTCAGAAACTACATACATGTCCATTAGGATGGATACAGATTAAATAAATGTTGGTAGATGCACAATTGGAAATTAATAGCCTTTTGAAAGAGTAAGGTAGAGGCTGGTGCTGTGGCGTAGCAGGTGAGGCTGCTGCCTACAGTGCCGGCATCCCCTGTGGGCACCAGTTTGAGATCCTGCTGCTCCACTTCTGATCCACTCTCTGTTATGACCTGGGAAAGCAGTAGAAGATGGCCCAAGTCCTTGAGCCCCTGCACCTGCATGGGAGATCCAGAAGAAGCTCTTGGCTTCTGGCTTCAAATCAGCCCAGCTCCAGCCATTGTGGCCATTTGGGGAGTGAACCAGCAGATGGAAGATCTCTCTGCTTCTGCCTCTGCCTCTCTCTAACTCTGCCTTTCAAATAAATAAATAAATCTTTAAAAAAAAGAGTGATGCAGATTCATAAGCACAGATAGAAACAAATTACATCTCCAAGTCAGACTGTAACTGAACAAAGCGAGGGCAGAACCACACCAGTCACATGGAAGGAGGGAAAACTATACAGGCAAGTGTGCTTGCCCATCTGTTGATGTTTTTTTTTTTTTCTTAAGATTTTTTTTTTTTCATTTACTTGAAAGAGTTAGAGAGGGAGAAACAGAAGGAGAGATCTTCCATCTGCTGGTTCATTCCCAAAATGGCCACAATGACCAGGGCTGGCCCAGGCTAGAGCCAGGAGCCAGGAGCTTCCTCTAGGTCTCCCATGAGGGTACAGGGGCCCAAGGGCTTGGGCCATCTTCTGCTGCTTTCCCAGGAGCAGTAGCCAGGAGCTGGATCAGAAGTGGAGCAGCTGGGTCTCGAAAGGGTGCCCATATGCCAGCCTCCCAGGTGGAGGCTTAGCCCACTATGCCACTGCGCAGGTCCCTGTGGATTTCTAAAGGGACACAGCCACCCAGCGGGGGCCTCTTGTAGCCTGGGGCTGGAGCAGACGGGAACGACATTTTTACAGCCTGTCTGGACCTTCACTGTGCGCATGTGTTACCTGTTCACAAAAGCTCCCATTCGCAGCCAGCCTCTCTGCCCCCTCCATTATACCCGCGTGTTGTAGGGAGCCAGATTTTATGCTGCTGGAGGCCGAGGATCTGGAAGCCTGTGGAAAAGCGAGTGTTCAGTGTTAGGCAGCAAGTGAAGTGTGGAGGTCCGGCTGAGACAGTCTCTGGCTACCCAGGTGGGTGGGACTGGGCTCCACACTGCCTCCCTCTTGGCCCTGGCCTGTGCTGTTCTCACTGAGGATAGACCCCTGATTAGTCAACAAGGGGAGTTACCTAAATAGGGGGCAGAGTAACGACACACATAGATTCTGGAACAAGGTGGACTTGTGTGGATGTGGCTTTTGCCACTTTCTGCTGTGTGGCTTAGAGCAAGTTACTTACCCTCTCTTTGGCTCAGATTCCATAGGTATAAAAGGCGCGTAGTAATGAGACCCTTTAGGTTTGTTGTGAGGATTGGAGGTCACACTGGCACAGAGTAAGTTATAGACATGTTTGCTGTATTAATAAAAATAAAATAGCGTAGGCATTGGCTTCATTTACTAGAAATCAGCTCCTCTTCTTGTCTTTGTGTTTCCATCACCCAAGCTGTCTCCCATTAATTCTTTTTGTAAAAATAATTTTTTTTTGAAAGGCAGAGTTAGAGAGACAGAGGGGTCTTTCATCGGCTGGTTCACTATCCAAATGTCCACAATGGCCAGGGCTTAGCTAGGCCAAAGCCCAAAGCCAGGAGCTTTATCCGGGTCTCCCAAGGACTTGGACAATCTTCTGCTGCCTTCCTAGGTGCATTAGCAGGGAGCTGGATTAGAAGCAAAGCAGACAAGACTCAAACCGGTGCCCATATGAGATGCCAGCTTTGCAAGCTTTACCCACTACACCACAATGCCAGCTGTTCCATTAATTCTTTAAGAGCAATGACTATGGTTGCATCATTTTTACATTGCACACATCAGGAATAGGCGTTTGGCCTCACAGTTAAGGTGCAGGCTGAGATGCTGGCATTCCAATGTGGGTGCCTGAGTTTAAGTCCCAGCTCTGCTTCTGATACCAACTTCCTGTTAATGCACAATGTGGGAGGCAGCAGGTACCAGGCCATCACAGGCATTTGGGGAGAGAACCAGAAGATGGGAGCCATCTGCCAAACCTCCCTGCCCTTCTGTGTGTGTGTGTGTGTGTGTGTTTACTTCTCAAATTTCAAAAAATAAAATTAAAAATGTATATATACCACCTAGTACCTTGAAAAAAGCCTTGCATGCAGTAGGTGCACAATAAATATTTGCTAAGTGAATTGAGATATTTAGCTTCCAGATCCAAATATGCTGCTCCAGTATTCCCTGTCATTGGCAATAGGGCATTTATTTATTTGTTATTTACTTTACTTGCAAGGCAGAGAGACAGAAAAAGAGAGACTATTAGAGATCTCCCATCTGTTGGTTCACTCCCCAAATGCCTACAACAGCTGGGGCTGGACCAGACTGAAGCCAGGAGCCAAGAATTCAAACCAGGTCTCCCAACGTGTGTGGCAAGAGCCCAACCACTCAAGCCATCACCTGCTCCCTCCCAAGGTGTACATTCGCAGAAAGCTGGAATCCAGAGCAGAGCTGGGACTCAAAACCCAGGCACTCTGATACTGAATGTGGGTGTCCCAGGAGCTGGCTTAATCCCTGTGCCTTCCCTGGCAACAAGACTTTAGAACTATTTTTTTTTTTAAATAGTAAAATAAAGGGTGCCGACACTGTGGTGCAGGGATTAAACTGCTGCCCACAGTGCTGGCATCCCATGTGGGCACCGGTTTGAGTTCCAGCTCCTCCACCTCTGATCCAGCTCTGTGCTAATGTGCCTGGGAAAGCAGCAGAGGATGACCCAAGTGCTTAGACCCCTGCACCCACATGGGAGACCCAAGTGAACTCCTAGCTTCTGGCTCCTGGCTTCAGCCTGGCCATTGCAGCCACTTGGGGAGTGAACCAGTGGATAAAATTTCTCTCTCTCTCTCTCTCTTCTCTCTCTCTCTCTGTCCATCTCTCTTTCTCTCTCTCTCTCTCTCTCCCCCTGAAACTCTGCCTTTCAAATAAATAAATCTTTAAAAAAAAAACCTAAAATATACATAATAAAATTTGACAGTTTAACAAAATATTTTAAAATATTTTATTATTTTAAAGATTTGTTTATTTATTTGAAAGGCAGGGATACAGAGAGAAAAGGAGAGAGAAAGAGAGATCTCTCATCTGCTGGTTCACTTGCCCAATAGCCACAATAGCTGGGACTGAGCCAGGCAAAAGCCAGGAGCCAGGAACTCCATCCAGGTTTCCCACATAGAAAGCAGAGGTCCAAGTACTTGGGCCATCTTCTACTGCTTTCCCAGGCACATTAGCAGGGAGCTGGATTGGAAGTGGAGCAGCTGGGACTGGAACTGGTGCTTATATGGGATGTCAGCATCACAGGTCATGGCTTAACCCCCTGTACTACAACACCAGCCCCCACTCTGTTTTAGGAGCATTTTTAAAAGATACCAGGGGGCTGGCGCCACAACTCTGGCGCCGCGGCTCACTAGGCTAATCCTCCACCTGCAGCGCCGGCACCCCAGGTTCTAGTCCCAGTCGGAGCACTGGATTCTGTCCTGGTTGCTCCTCTTCCAGTCCAGCTCTCTGCTGTGGCCAGGGAGTGCAGTGGAGGATGGCCCAAGTGCTTGGGCCCTGTACCCCATGGGAGACCAGGAGAAGTACCTGGCTCCTGGCTTCGGATCAGCGCTATGCGCCAGCCGCAGCGGCCACTGGGGGGTAAACCAACGGCAAAGGAAGACCATTCTCTCTGTCTCTCTCTCTCACTGTCCATTCTGCCTGTCAAAAAAAAAAAAAAAAAAAAAAAAAAAAAGATACCAGGGGTGGTGCAGTGGGTTAAGCTGCTGCTTGCGACACCTTCATCCCATATCAGAGTGCAGGTTAGAGTCCCAGCCACTCTACTTACTATCCTGCTTCCTGCTAATACATTCTGGGAGGCAGCAGCTGATGGCTCAGATGCATGGGCTCCTGCCCCCTGGATGGGATTCCTGGCTCCTAGTTTCAGCCTGGCCCAGTCCTAGATGTTGTAGGTATTCAGAAAGTGAACCAGCCAATAGAAGATCTCTCTGTCTTTCCTTCTCTTTCTATCACTCTTTCCAATAAATATCTTTAAGAACAAAACAAAAAAATATTCATAATAGTGACTGTCCATTGAATGACCTATGATGATGGTAAGAGTGTAAATGGGACTGGCGCTGTGGTGCAGCAGGTTAAAGCTGCAGCCTGCAGTGCTGGCATCTCGTATGGGTGATGGTTTGAGTCCTGGCTGCTCCACTTCTGATCCAGCTCCCTGCTAATGTGCCTGGGAAAGCAGTGGAAGATGGCCCAAGTTCTTGGGCCCCTACATCCATGTGGGAGACATGGATAGATCTCTGGGCTCCTAGCTTCAGTCTGACACAGTCCTAGCCATTGTGGACATTTAGGGAGTAAACCAGCAGATGGAAGGTCCTGTGGGGAGCAACTCGGACTAGACTAAGTTACTGGAATTAAGACTTATTCTATGCATTTGCTCTCCCACAATATGGCGCTGGGAGAGGAGTAAACAATTTCTATGCAGCTGCCTCTTGCCAACTTGAGTGATGACCTGCAGGAGCTGATCCTGCTCCTGATTGGAGGAGAGCAGCGTACTCGGCGTGTGGGTAGCAGAGTTGGGATTGGTGGAAGAGGACTATAAAGGAGGAGAGAGACAACATGCACCAGGAACATCTAAGGGGAACACCTGAGGAACATCTGAGCAGCCCCCGAGAGAGCCAGCCGGCGGTGTGCCACTCCCCCGCGGAAGTGGGGAATGTGGCAGGGGGGGCCCGCCCCTCCACGGAGGTGGAGGGACGGTAGCCAACCCGGGAAGAACCAGCAGCAAACCCGGGGAGGGCCGAGCAGACGAAAGAACAGCGCAGGGTCCTGTGTCGTTCCTCCGAGAAGAGGGGGAGCGACAAGGTCCCTCTCTCTGTCTCTTTCTCTCTTCTCTCTCTCTGTAATTCTTTCAAATAAGTGAAGAAATCATCTTCTCTCTCTCTCTCTCTCTTTTTTTTTTTTTAAGTGTAAACAGGCTGTGAGGATTTGGTAGAAAGCAGAAATCTTCCCAGCCCAGCCCATCATCTCTCCTCTCTAGAGACAACCACTAATCATCTCCATACCTCCTTGGATGAGAGAAGAACATGAACACTTAGGTGACCTGCATTTAAATCCTGGCACTACCACTGGTGAGCTGTGTGACCTCAGGCAAATCACTTACCCTCTCTGTCTTTGTGAGATAAGGATAGTGATAGTACTGACCTCCTCCGTGCCGTGAGTTGATGTGTACGGAGTGTTTTCAAGGTGACTGATTCATAATAATATCTTGGTGCATACAGATGCAATATGCAAGTTTACATGCATCAGAGTAACACAGTGTGAGAACCGTGCATGCGGGACAGGATGGGTGGTGTCTTCTGCTAGAACATTCTTTGGGAAGCCAGGATTCCTGTTCTGCTGGTGCCACTGACCAAGCTTGCTGGCCTTCAGACTCTACATTCAAATCTTTGTTTTCTCACCTGTGAAATGAGAACATTTGGCCAGATGAGTTCCAAGAGCCCTTTCACGCTTACCAGTCTCTTTCTACCTCTAACAGGTTTGGAAAGTGTCAGGACTTTTTAAAGGAACTTAGAAAGTAAAGAGTAACGCATAGGGAGCACAGCAGGCTCCTCAGATGGGCGTCAGTGCCTCAGTGGGACCGAGACTCGGGCCGATGCTGCCACCTGCATGAGTCTGGTTTCTCACATCCTCTTTCAGAGGAGCTACGCCCCATCCCTCCACATTGAGGTTCAATGTCAAGTTTATACATTCCAGTTCTAAATGGCCAAAGGCATTCTCGGTCAGACTTGACGACTCATAGGGATAGTTTGCCCCCTTTTTTAATCTGACCAAAATCTAAAATTACTGCCCCAGTACATGATTGAGTGTTTTTGCTTGATTTTTTTTTTAATGAGGTAAATCTTGCCAGTTGATCATCTCTGGTTATTTTCCGATATGCTTGGCCAGATGGCACTTTCGGTGACAAAGAGGTTTCGCTTTGTTCTATGTCTTCTCTGCAGTGTTTCTCAGGTTAGCATCTCCGCTCAGGCTGACTTTTTGCAGAGCCCAGAAGCTTAGACATTCAATGGTGAACACTGATGGGGGGAGCTCGCTGGGTCTGATTAGCCTGGTAACGTCATCTACTCTATTTGATGGCAAGTTCAAATAAGATTAATCGTATTTCCTGTTTGGATACTCTGATTTTCAGCACTTAGAAGTCCAGTATTACTGTTGTTATTACTGCATTATTGCTGTTATTGTAGTATTAATAATGAATATTGAATAGGACATTCACAAAACCTTTTAACATATTACCTGATTGGAGCTATACTGTTATCCTTTGAGGTAATATAACAGGGTAGATCAAGCTTCAGAGCTGTCATAAATTGAGTTGAATTCCACGTCTGCCCCTACTAACTGTTCTTTCGATTTAGGGACCCTCAATGTCCTTATCTGAGAAACGGGTTTAATAATGTCTAATTCCTACAATTGTGGGTAGATCGAGACATACAACATGGAGTCCAGCACGGAAGGTATCAGTAAGCAGAGCCATTGCTGCTCTTGCTGGCAGTCTTTCCCCTTTTCTACACGAGGAAACTGAGATTCAGAGAGATCACGGGATCGACGTGGGTTGTTTCTCGCACGGTGATGAAGCTGTGATTCACACACATCTCCTTTGGATTCAGAACTTGCCTGTATTCTTTCCACAGCACAACACTGCCAAGCGAAAGAGCTCTTTCGGTAAACTCAAAATGCCTAGCTTTGATGTTTAGCTTGTTAAAAGGATATTATTTGCTGTTGTTGTTTGAACTCTTTGCTTTTTTATTTGAATGACAGAGCATGGCCATCAGGCTGATTCATTCCGCAGATGGCTGCAATGCCTGGGGCCCACAGCCCCGAGCTGGAACTCAATCCAGGTCTCCCACGTGCACGGTAGCAGGAGCACAGCCACTTGAGCTGTCACAGCTGTCTCCCAGGGTCTACATTAGCAGGAAGCTGGAGGCAGCCAGCGCCAGGGATTGGACCCAGACACTCTGACGTGGGATGGCGCATCCTAACCAGCATATTAACCACTTTTCCAAATGCCTGCCCAGATATTTGCTGTTTTTAAAAACCTGTTTGAGTATTTGTGATTTTCCTTATTTCTGTTTCCCTCCTGAAAGTTTCGTCTTCTTCTTTCTCTTTCACTTAGTAGAAGCCAAATTAGAGAGTTTGAAATGCATAGCAATACAGTTCTTGGATTGGTTTCTGACTCACTATCTTTTTAACCCAACAGCTTGAAATCACATTCCATTGCCTACCTCTTGGCCTCCCAAAGTCTCTGGAGCTGGGAGTTCGCTTCCATGGTGTCTAGCACAGCTCCCTTGTGACACCGAGGAGAAAACAGGAGGCAAAGTTAGTGCAGAAGTGCAAACTGGTGGAGGCAAAGCTAGTGGAAGAGCCAAAACTAATATCCACATATGCTATTCCGGTCCTGGTTTCTTTCTTCCCTGCTCTCAGTGAGCATTATCCTTCCTGTACCCTTTTCCTAAAACCACCCTGCATTATCTTCATAATCCTAGGTGATGGAGTCAAGGTTCATTTTGAATATCAGTAGTTACACAATTGTGACACTTGAGACACACCAGTCATGAGACTAGCAATGCTTCTTTGCAAATCACAGCTTTCACGTTGGGAGTCTCCTCCCAATTTTTTTGTTCTGGTCTTTGGGCGGTAACAGCAGGCTTTCTCGTGACAAACCTAAGCCTTCCTGCTTCGCACTGCATGGAAAGTAGGGCAGTGCCTGCCGATCCCTAGGCATTTGAGTGGGTTTCTTTGGTCCTAACCAACATTAGGAAGTGGAACAGCTAAATCCCAGGCTCCCCACCCTTGTTTCTTAACTTATCTTTCCCTCTTGCTTTGCGTTCCTTCTTCCTTTTTCAGCCAAACACCCTGCTAAATCCAAATTTGGAGAACTGCCAAAAGTTAGGCTTCTTTAAATGCAGTCCTCTAAAAGACCCCTGTCCCCTTCTTTCTCCCACAGTGACAGTACCTACCCAACAACACAGGGAGCTTACAGAGGCGCATTCAGTGTCGAGTCACGACGAGTCCTGACTATTTTAAATACCTGACAAATCGAACAGCATTGGTCATCTTGTGTTCTGAACTGTGCATGAAATATTTTCAGACTCTTCGTGTCATTTTCGACGTAGGTTTCCTTCCTGGCTAGATCTCGGGCCAGTCATTGAGCCTGCATGAGCTTCTCTTTGCCCTCTGTTGAATAATAGCTAGGCTAGCTCAAGGGGCTGACATGGGAAATGAGCGTGAGCGGCCCCCCACTAGGCTGCCCTTACTAAAAGCTAATGCCACCCCGTTTTCTGCCCCTCTTTCGTGAGCTGACCCCTCTTCAAGCCCTCCTGACTCTTTGCTCCTTCCCACCCATTGGGAACGTGGTTGAACACGAGTTCATGTTCCAGTGCCAGCTCCCCGTTTCTTATGCTTCAGGCTGTTGGGTTCATTTCCATTTCTACCCAGCAGGGAAGACTAACTTTCCTTTTCAGGACTCTGGGCTTGGTTTCTGTTTGTTTGTTTGAAGTCTAACATTGCGGGGACTCGGCCTGCCCCTTCAATTCCTTCTAGCCCCAGCTCTTCACGGGGGATTAGATCTTCCTTGGCAGTGAAATGTTCAAGTAGCACTGCAGGCAAAGCCCTGAAAGTCATTCAAACCAGCCTTCCCATTGAATCCACAGCTCTGGATTCCCCCATGGGATTACAGCTCATTTGGGGCTATTTATGCAGTCCTGGGTTGACTCTCAGAGCTGGTTTCTGCTGTCACCCTGTGATTAAAAACTACCAAGATAGCAGAGTGGTTAAGTACTGATGGCATCTCTGAGATGCCTCCGGGCTTATCTGCACTGATTTTCATGTGGCCAGTTAGTTGGGTTTGCACCAGCCCTGGGGCCCCACTCAATCTCGAACCCTTGGAATTTACTCCCTGGATTCCTAGAGGCCCTGGCGAGTCCATCTGGAGCCTTGCCCTGCGTGACAAGGGGGCCCCTCTTTGCACTCAGATCACAATCAGAATCAGCCCAGTGGGAGGGGCAAGGAGAGGTTTCCAAATGCCTTCTCTAGATACAATGAGAATTCCCCTTGGCCCAGAGCTGCTGGGTCAGGAAAATGACATCCAACTTCTTACTGTGGACACAGAAATGATAGGCAGGAAATCATGACCAAAGGGACATTTCTTCATTCAGCAAATATTTACTGGGCATCTCCTCTGCACAGGCAGCCTGCGAGGGCTTTGATTTATAAAAATAAGCCATTGTTCCTCGCGAACAAGGTCAGGTACACCCACACAGAGCTGTGATGCGGGAGACTGGTGTGGCGGTAGAGGTCTGTGTGAAGGTCCAGCGGTCTCAGAGCAAAGATGCCTCCCACTGCAGAGGGCGGGACGTGGTGGATGGGAGATGACGTCACACAGGTGGTCACGGCAGAGCCTTCCAGAACGAAGCTCTCTGCAGACAAGTGTTGTAAGGCCTAAAGTTGGGGAGACAAAACAGGCTGGCTTGAATTCCTCCAGAAGTAGGCCCAGAGATAAGGACTTGGGCACAATCTTCATCTGGGAGATGGCCCCAAACAGAAGTAGGGGAGTGGGAATGGAAGGAGGGTGTGCCAGCCAGACACTGGCCTTCGTGGGGGATTGGATGTCAAGCCCTGGCCCCTTAGGGGTCAGTGTAGAACGTGGCTCAGTGGCTCAGTGTCTTCTCCGCGGGAGGGCAAGGGTGCTGGAGGGGGAAGTTGCTTCTGGCTTGCTCTGCTGGGGGTGCCCCCACAGTCAGTGGAAAGCCACAGAAAGAGTCATAGGTATTTGAAGCAGCTTTTACCTTGTCCGGGCAAATGCATCTGCTACAGAGGACCAAAGGCACACAGATGTGATAAGTGCACAGTAAATTGTAGCTCATCCTGGAAGTGGAAAGAGGTAAAAGTGGAAGCCAAACTGTGTACATTGTTAAGGAGCTGGCTCTTCGCCTCCCCTCCCCTTCCCTCCCTTCCCTTTCTTCTTTTCTTAAGATTTAGTTCATTTATTTGAAAGGTGAAGTTAGAGAAAGACAGAGAGAGAGAGAGAGAGGTCTTCCATCTGCTAGTTCACTCCCCAAATGGTCGCAACACCCAGGACTGGGCCAGGCTGAAGCCAGGAGACTGGAACTCCATCTGAGTCTCCCACCTGGGAGTACTTGGGCCATCTCCTGCCTTCCCAGGCCATTAGCAAGGAGGGGTCTGAGGTGGAGCAGCCAGGAACTGAACCAGTGCTCATACGGGATGCTGGCATCACCAGTAGCAGCCCAACTCACAATGCCAGCCCTAGAATCTTCCCTCCCCTTCCCTTCCCTTTTTTTATTTGAAAGTCAGAGTTCCATAGAGAGAGGAGAGACAGAGAGAGAGAGGTCTTCCATCTGATGATTCACTCCTCAATTGTCTGCAACGGCCAGAGCTGAGCCAATCTAAAGCCAGGAGCCAGGAGCTTCTTCTGGGTCTCCCATGTGGGTGCAGGGGCCCAAGGACTTGGACCATCTTCTACTGCTTTCCCAGACCATAGCAGAGAGCTGGATCAGAAGTGGAGCAGCCGGGACTTGAACCGGTGCCCATATAGGATGCTGGCGCTTCAGGCTAGGGTGTTAACCCCGCTGCGCCACAGCGCTGGCCCTAGAATCTTTTTTTGACTGGGGATGGGTAGGCATTGGAATGCTCATCTCAGATGAAACAAGTGCCATGCAACCACATGGCTGAGTGACACAGAGCCACAGGCCCTAGCAATATAATGGGTAGACCAATCAGTAGCACTTACGTGGACATGAGTGAATTGTTCCTTCATCTGTACTCTCAGTAAAGCAGGGCCCTTGTAAGGGCCAGCACTGTGGCATAGCAAGCAAAGCTGCTGCCTGCGATGCCAGCATCCCATGTGGGTGCAGGTTCAAGTTGTGGCTGCTCCACTTCCAACCCAGTTCCTGGCTAATATGCTCGGGAAAATAGAAAATGGCCCTGTGTGTGTGTGTGTCTCCCTCTGTTAACTCTATACCTTTCAAATAAATAAAGCTGTTAAAGAGGCGGGGCTCTTATATTATTCTAATAATAATTGTACCTGTCCATGCTTACTCAACTGACCATCAATATAGGGATTATGATTTCATTCACCAGCTCAGGGATTACACAGCCCAGGACAGGGACTTGGTGATGGATGATTAGTTGGTTTATACACACAGCTCTGCCCAGTGCTGTTTACTGTGTTTATAGCAGGATTATCATTGATCCAAAAGGGCACTAAGTTCTGTTTACATGTGAATTTTGGAAGTGGATCAGAAAGGGGTTGGTGACAGGATGGCCTGAATCCTTTTGGAATTCCTTCGTGTGAGCCTGTGGGGTTCACAGATGACATGTCCTTCCCCCAGGCTGCTCCATCGTGGCCTCAGTGGAACTGTGCCCAGTGATCGGTTCCATGGGAGACACTTTGCTGCCGTCCTGATCACTTCATAGGAGCTGGACTTTCCCTCTGGCCTTGGCCAACTAAGTGTCTCAACTCCCTCTTTCTGCCTAGTTGTTCAGCAGTTGCTTGTGATTACCAACCAGAGAGAGAGGCCAGCACTGTCATTCAACAGGACCGTTTTCTGAAGTGGCTGGGTGACCTCTGCAGAAAATCCCCAGGGAAAGGGGGCATGTCCTGATGGTAAACAAGAGGCCAATGGCAGCAACTCAGTCACCCAGATCACTTCTGGAATGAGGTTCCATCCCCAGCGATTCTGACACAGACCTCCAAGCAGAGAGAGTTAGTAGGGCCCCACTACTACAGAGTCCTATAAAGAATGTCTTAGAGGTCATTCAATCCATCCCCCTGTATGCTCACAGCCAGACTGAATTCGTTCAACAATGATACTTCAAAAATTTTAGGAAAAGAGATTCTTGATATTTTTATAGTAGGATAGGAAGTTGTTTTCTCATTAGGATCCGAAAAGTGTTTACAGGTAAGAAGCTGCTCCTAAAAGTAATAGAATTTATGTTCTGGAAACTCATTTCCTAGAAAATTGAGGCCAAGCCAGGACCAAAACATGTCCCTTGATCTCCAGTTGAGAGACTTGCTTCGATCATTTATCCAGTATTCCTTGAGTGCCTAGCTTGTGGACCTCTGCGTGTGCTGGGGAAACACAGCCCAAGACCATTTCTGCCTCTCCACAAGGGTGCTTATCAACCCAGCTGAGCAGATGTTTGCACTGAACTAACTGTAACCAGCTGTTACCAATGCTACATCAAGGGCATGTTCAGATGCATCTGGAGCCTTCCCAAGGGCCTTTTTCTAACAAAATAGGCATCGGTATTCATCACAGATTCCCAGTGCTTGCCCTTCTACCTCCTGCTTCCTATCTGTATGTCCACTAAGACTTGGACACACACATAACGGCAGTTCTGCAAATCACTGAGTTTTATTGTGAAAACAGAACAGACACATTCCCACCTCGGGTTTACGGTGTCAGGCTGTTAGTTGGCCAGAGAGCTCAAAGGACTGGGGCCTTCCCACTGCTGTGCAGTGGAAACGTGGTCCCTGTGCTCATTGTGCTGGTGATAAAAGGAAGAATAGAGAGAAAGAAAATCTTTGGATTTGTCCACTTTTGTTGCAAGAAACCGTAATGATACACTCAATATTTTTGAGTGGAGGGATGATGTGAGTCACTGGCACGTGGACAGTTGTCATTGCCAGAGTAACCAGTTGAGGTGGGAATGTAATTTTGTTTGAGTGATACTGTGTCAGTCATGCCCTGAAAAAAAGATCTGGTAGACTGTTCTGGTTCTCACCTTTGAAAAAGAAAAAAAAAAAAAAAAGCATGGGTTTTACTAAAGCTTAGAAATGAGATACAATCAGGAAGACACTTTCTGAAAACGGGGACATGAGGAGGGAAATGTCCCTTGGGACAGATAGGTCCACCATGGCTATTTCATGACTGCACATTTAACAGCTGGACGTGGACCCTGGGTCAGTGATGCACCGCAGTGGAAATGCCACTTGGCTTCTGGAACTGACTCTCATCTGCTCTCCTCTTGGTAACTGCCTGGTGTCAACTGCCTGCCTCTTGGCTGGACACTGTGGAGAATCTGTTTTGACCAACTCACAAGGGCCTCCTCCCCTACCTGCAAATCTCCACCTTGCTGCTAATTTGACGGATGGCCGCAGGAAGTCATTGCCTCCTCTCTCTCCCTTATCACGTTCAACTGGTCATTGACTTGTCTCATTTCTCTTCAGTCGCCGCATCAGGCAGGGTTCAAGTGCAGTCCCTAGAGATCACAGCAGTAGATTTCCATTTGTAGTGAGGACCTTGGGGGTGATATCTGTAGCAGAACTGCAGAACTGGCCTGCCAGGGGGTAGCTGCTGCTCTGCCCCAGCCAGGAAGGTGGACGTCGGTCAAGCACCCCTGGAACTCCTGCCTCCAGGGACAGGCCACTTGCATTGCAATTGAAGGATCAGAAAAACACCACGGCTGTGCAGGTCCCAGGACCGCTCTGTGTGTTTCTGACTGTGCTTGATGGAAGAAGCAGCAGAAGCATCCGGGAATCTGACCAGTTTTTACTTTACCCTTCCAAATCTTGCACAAATAGGTCTGTTGATCAGAACTCACATGATACTTGGAAATTTAACTACAAGGGAATCTGGGAAATGTAGTTTTTAAAAAACTTTCCAGCCTCTCAGTACAGGAAGGCACACTGAGGGGTAAGTGAAATTAGATCATACACAATATCTACCCCATTCAACATCTCTATTCTTTAAAGATTTATTTATTTATTTGACAGAGTCACACATAGAGAGAAGGAGAGGCTGAAAGAGAAAGAAAGAGAGGTCTTCCATCTGCTGGTTCACTCCCCAGATGGCTGCAATGGCCAGAGCTGGGCTGATCTGAAGCCAGGAGCCTGGAGCTTCTTCTGGATCTCCCACGTGAGTGCAGGGGCCCAAGGACTTGGGCCATTCTCTACTGCCCTCCCAGGCCATAGCAAAGAGCAGGATTGGAAGTGGAGCAGCCAGGACTCGAACCGGCACCCTCATGGGATGCCGGCACTGCAGGCGGCAGTCCTACCCACTGTGCCATGGCGCTGGCCCTCGACATCTCTAGAGCAGCCACTACCCTAAGACTTGTCATCTATCGCCTGAACCTTGGAGATTCCCTCATTGCCAGTCCCTCTGCTCCCAGTTCTTCCCTCTTCAGTCTCTTCTCTGTGTTGTGTTTGTTCCTGAAATGCACCCTTGATCCTGTCACTTCATGCTCAAAATCTTGTCACTCATAAGAATAAGACCCATTTCCCCTTCCAAGCTCTTAATCTCGGGGCTCCAAGCCACCGTGCCACCCGCAGATCCTGCCACTCCACCACACCCCTGAGAGTCAGTCTCGCTGGTTCCAACACTTCCTAACTCCACCCTCCATCCTCTCATCGTCTGTTGTGTGGTTTTCCTGACTAGAATTCCTCACTTCATTTTCAAAAAAGATGTATTTATTTACTGGTTCACTCCCCAAATGGCCACAACAGCCAGGACCAGGCCAGGCTAAAGCCAGGAGCCAGGAACTCCATCCTGGTCTCCCATATGGGTGGCAGGGGCCTAGGTCATCGGGTCATCTTCGGCTGCCTTCTCAGGCACATTGGCAGGGAGCTGGACCAGAAGTGGAGCAGCCAGGACCAGAATTGGCACTCGGCAATATGGGATGCTGGGCCACAATGCCAGCCCCCGGCCTGGCTTTCCTCTTTAGCTTATAAATATGCTAAGGTGTTTCTTGTGTCAGAAAGCAAGCTCTGCCTTGATCCTCTGGCTAGTATTCTACCCCTGTTCTTTGTGTCATAGTCTGCTGTTGGTGGTGGTGGTGGGGGGTTCTACACTCTGTATCTTCACTCCTTCACCACCCATCCACTGCCTTATTACTCCACTGAGATCACCCTTGTCAAAGGCACCCGTTATCTACCACCCGTTATCTACCACTGCTAAACAAAATGGTAGATTCCCCATGGTTCTTAATCCTTTGCCCCACTTGGTATGGTGACCATGCCTTCCTTCTTGAACCCAATTCTTGCCTGGACCACCACTTCCTTCTTAGCCTTCTCCGTGGGTTCTTCTCCCTTTGCCAGGACAGAGTTCCTGTCTCCAGTTCTCTTCTCTGCTTCCCACAACCTCTGGGTGATCTCATGACTTCAAGCCCTACCAATTTGCTGCCAAGACATTAAAGCCTTCCTTGCCCTTGGGTGGGATACCATCCTGCCTGCCCAGAGCACCCAATGAGCTGCTCAGTAAGCCTATCTGGGTAAGTGTCCCCTAGACAATCCCATGTAAGAGTTCAAGGTTGTATTCAAGTGTTGCTGCCATGACCTCCTAGCTGGTCTGTCTGCTGCTGCTCTGAGCCCCTGCAGCATGCAGTAAGGCTGCACCACAAGCGACCTTGTTAAACCTCACATCAGACCACTCAGTCTTCTACGCAGTCTCCCACTCTGCAAGCCATCAGAGCAAAGCCAAAGTCCTGACGATGACCTTTGAGCCGTACCAGGTCGTACACCATCTGCCCCATTATCTTCCTACCTCACTTCATCCTTTTTTCTCCACGCCTCTAATCCAAGTCCATCAACCTTCCAGCTGTTCTTGAATGTGCGAGTCACACGCTCGCTCTGCCTGGATGCACTTCCTCTGGGTGTCTGCACTGCTTGTTCCCTAACTGTATCCACTCCCTCTCAATGTCACCTTCCCTGACTACCCCGGAAACACTGTCACCTGCTCCAGCTGTATTTTTCTTTCTTATTTTTCTCTTCTTTTTCATGCTCCATTTTTCTTCTTAGTATTTCTCGTCTCAAGCATGCTTTATATTTCACTTTATTGATTTTTTTAAAGACATTTTATTTATTTATTTAATTTTTTGACAAGCAGAGTGGACAGTGAGAGAGAGAGACAGAGAGAAAGGTCTTCCTTTTGCTGTTGGTTCACCCTCCAGTGGCCGCCGCACTGAGGCCAGCGCACCACGCTGATCCAATGGCAGGAGCCAGGTACTTATCCTGGTCTCCCATGGGGTGCAGGGCCCAAACACTTGGGCCATCCTCCACTGCACTCCCTGGCCACAGCAGAGAGCTGACCTGGAAGAGGGGCAACCGGGACAGAATCCGGCGCCCCAACCAGGACTAGAACCCGGTGTGCTGGCGCCGCAAGGCGGAGGATTAGCCTAGTGAGCTGCGGCGCCGGCCAAAAGACTTATTTATTTGAAAGTCAGAGTTGAGAGAGAGAGAGAGAGAGAAAGAAAGATCTTTTATCCTCTGGTTCATTCCCCAGGTGGCCACAATGGCCAGGACTGGGCCAGGCAGAAGCCAGGAGCCAGGAGCTTCATCTGGATCTCCCACGTGGATCACAGCGGCTCAAGCACTTAAACCATCTGCTGCTGCTTTTCCCAGGCCATTAGCAGGGAGCTGGATAAGAAGTGGACCAGACAGCCCTTGAACAGGTGCCCATATGGAATCCTTATGTTGCACATGGCAGCTTTACCTGCTATACCACAATGCTGGCCCCTATAGTTTGCTTAAAAAAAAAAAAGGCAGGGGCCTAACCTGCTATGCCACAACACTGGCCCCCATGTTTACTTTATGTTTTTTGTCTGTCTCCTCCCACCATAAATGACCTCAATGAAGCTAGAATTTGTGCCTCTTTGTTCACTGCTGTTTTCCCAAGGTCTAGAATGGTGACTGGCATAATGAAGTGATCAATAAATATTTACAGAATGAAAGGTTATTTCTACTGCACATCTTCCATGTCTGTTGTGTCACCCCTGTAATGCATTCACCCTCCCATTGGTAGTCCCTCTACCCCCAGGACTCTCCCCTCTTCAATGTACATTGAGTCCTCTCCTCTCTGTCTTCTTTGCTACCACGCTGGACTGCAGCAGGTGTGCCGATCTGATCTCAGTGCTGCCCACTTAAAACCCATCTGAACTTCCCATCATGACAACTTTCCTCATCAAGTGACCTCCATCAGTGTCTCAGTTCATCTCTCACCACCACCATGCAACCCTCCAGCCACAGGGGACACTTTGCCTTTATACTCCTGCGCTTAGCATCTCTCTTGTTCCTTGGTGATTGTCACCCACCTCTTCTTCACGTGGCCAACTCCCAGGCAAGTGTCCAGCCTCTCAGCTCTGACATCAGCTTCCCCAGACCAGCCCTACAGTTAGAATACTAGGGCACTGCCACAGCATCCAGGGCTTATGTACTGTATGGCCATTGGCTAGTTGCTTGCCTTTCTCTGGAGAATGGGAGTCCTGGAGGACAGGAGTTTGATTTCATGCATTTTTCTATCTCCAGCATGAGGCCCAGATTCCTATCCATAGTCTGTGCTTGAACAGTGTCTGTTGGATAAAACAATGAATGGGAGGGTGAATGAATACTCCCAAGAGTAAATACTCGGAGAGTGTTTAAAATGGCCTGGTGCTGTCCCAGGCATCCTGCTTGTAGAGACCCGCAGACTCTTCACAACGCACTTACTGAGGTGAGTAGTGACCGGGAATCTATGGGCCCAGCGTGAGTAAGCTGTTTGCTCACAAACAGTAGCAGAGACAGGATTCACACTTGGGCATCTTGCGTTCTTAAACACCATGCGTGGACTGTGGATGCATGGATGGATGGGTAGATGCATGGATGGATGGGTAGATGCATGGATGGATGGATGGATGGGTAGATGCATGGATGGATGGATGGATGGTGGGTACAAGGGCATTCAGGGCCAGAGAAACTTCTGAAGCAGAGGTAAGAATGTTGGAATTATTTTTATGTGGCTTTTATGATTAATAATTCTAACCACACTTGCAATTAATTCTTTCCTGTAAAATAACCACTATAATATGTTTTTTTTTAATCTGTAATTTATTTATTTTGAGAGGTAGAATTGCAGACAGAAGGCACAGAAAAGTTTTCCATCCGCTGGTTCACTCCCCAAATGGCCACAATGGACACAGCTAGACCGATCCAAAGTCAGGAGATTCTTCAGGGTCTCCCACGTGGGTGCATGGTCTCCAAGCACCTGGGCCATATTCCACTGCTTTCCCAGGCCATCAGCAGGGAGATCAATCAGAAGAGGGGCAGCCAGGACACAAAGCGGCACCCATATGGGATGCTGGCGCTGCAGGCAGAGACTTAGCCCACTATGACATAGTACCGGTCCTCTTCATCTTGTTATAAAAAATATACTGTTATTCATTCTCAACTGTGACTCAAAACTTAAGATCCTAGATGAACTATATCTTAGCTCCTTTAACCACACCTTTAA